TCATACAATGCGCAGGAGTGATGGTTATGGTTATATATATGTTACTAATCCCGTACGTACATTATACAACCATATATCCATATACATTAGAAAACAATGTACGTACGTCATCCTTCCATATACGTACACCATTATCTCATGTACAAAAAACATCATACAATGCATACGCAGAATAAAGGTTAAGGGCATAACAGAAAAATTTGCAAGTGTATGTTAGGTTGGTGTACTCGTTTATTAGAGTGTATGTGTGAACACGTATTTACGATGATGTACACAATGGACGAATGTAATATGTGGATTATCATAGAATGTTATATATACATTACTCATCCATATTATACATACACATAAAATTGTGTTATGTCTTTGGTGTACGTCTTGACTACAATGCACTAATGTAATATGTGGATCATCATACAATGCGGAGTGATAGTTATGGTTATATATCTATTATTAATCATGCATGTACAATATACAAATTTGTATCCGCATATATTAGCAAACAATGTACGTACATCATCTACCTCATGTATGTACATCATCACGTATTATAGCGTGTACAACGTCATCGTACACCAACACCATCATCGACTCCACCGTGTATACTGTATCTATACATCACATACAACACCCATATTCCATCTTGTACACACCATCGACAACTCTGCCGTGTACACCATCATGTACCCGTCGTGTACACGTCTTCGTACACCAGCATCATTGCCTATTTTACCGTGTACATCCTTAGAAGTAGACTATGTATGCAGTGTATGTACATAAAAAAAATATTAAAGTACACTTCACTATCATTTTGAATGGACCATATATCAAGATCATATCATCTAATTTACCATCCTTACTATTGTCGTTCATAATTCTCATATTACATCTTATACACCAACACCATCGTGTACTCCGGCGTCTACACCGTCATTGTACACCAACACCATCGTCTATTCTACTGTGTACACCGTCTCCGTACACCACATACAAACGCCAATATTCCATCTACTACACACCATCGCCAACTCCGCCATGTTACCAAAACCATCATCTACTCTGCCATGTCCACATCTTCGTACAATAACACCATCGCCTATTATGTCGTGTGCACCTTCCTCGTACACCATATTTTTCAATGTTTTTTATTTCATCTCGTACATCAACAACATCGTCTACTCTGCTGTGTACATTCATGAAGAAATCATAACGAAGATCTGAAGATGAGTTCAACAAACCTATTTTAATATGATTATGAATCCATTTTTGTCGTGTACACCAACACCATTATATATTCTACCGTGTACCCCATCTTCATACATCAACACCATTATCTTGATGAACCTCAACCCTATATGCAAAAAAAATTAAAAAAAAAATTGATGAAAAAAATTCATTGATTTGAAATTCATAATAATAAATGAAAATAATGATTTGAGTACGAGTTCTCCAAAAAAAACAAGATCAG